CATCATAAAACTGAAAGAGAAAATGTTAATGTATTGTCAATTTCCAACACTGTATCTATTATCATCATGTATAAAAAGAATACCTTGGTAGCTTTTTTATAATATTTAACGTTATCCTTCTCAATGTCATGATGGGATCTAATAGGTTCTTTCAGTTCGTTACCTACAACCATACCAGGACCTTCGGTGGCCGGACCACCGCAGAAAAGCATTATACGCGCTCCTGCAGCTGGAAAGGTGGTCTAATAAATCAATTAATAAATTAGTAAAAGAATAAATTATTAACTAAACGATAGGAATTTATAAAAACCTCCATCAGTCCAATGGCAACACTCATTGCAACGCCTGTGCATCTTTGAGGTCGTTTATCATTTGCGACAGGCCATGGGTCACGTTGAAGTTGTTCTAGGATGGACGTCAAAGTAAATTCACATTGCTGAACTGGTAAAAGAAATCTGTTAAATGAAATATATGTATAAATATATTAATAAAAATAACAATGAATAAAGAAAAAGATATAATGGTTTATGGCTTACCTTGCAGCACCAGGATTCTGGGGAACTCCAGGTTGACCTGGTCGTTGTGTCTGAGCGCGTAAAGTTTGTGTACCCAAACCAAGCATTTCTTGGATTTGTTTAGATGAATATTCTTTTGTTCCGCGAAAGACATAAGATTTAGGGCATTCGCTGTATCCGAGTTCGTGAACTTGTGCCTATTTATTAATGAGATCTTTATTATTATATCGTAATTGTCAAAATATAAATAATATAACGAGAAAGTGAGTTTATACCATTGTACCAAAAGTAATTAAGCCAACTAAAGCATGGGGTGGTAATAAACTCAAGCTAACAACCAGAGAATCTTTCAATGCCTTCAGATCATCGTCTTCAAGGCAAGTATCTACTATATACAAAAATATTGGAGGAATTTGAGCTGCACGATTGAGGGTATACTCAATGGTGGTATACTTTGGCAACAACTCGGCGGGAAGGTTAGTGTTGGAAATATCCTTATAATGAGGAGGAAACGCATTTCTCTGAAGACAAAAAGGGCATATCCAGAGCTTCCCACGAACATCAATTTGACTGATAAACTTGGATAGTCAGAAATATCAGAAAGCGTTTAAAAAACCGAGTAAATTAAATTCAACATACCAATATGGATTTAAAATTGCACGACAGGGTGGCCTACAAGTAACAGGTTCGTAAAAGATTGGCGGTAGATCTTCTCTTTCCTTAAGTGGAGTATAAAGGCATGATATAGGCACAACGATCCTTGTTGCATCTAAACGAGAGGCAGGGAAGACGTTCCAGGAAAACCGTGTTCCGTCTTGTTCTTCGATCTCTTCAAAATTCATTGTGCAGTTGACAACTATTACAAACTTGCTATAATCGTATTAATCTTATACGATTTTTTTCACGTAAACGTGTAGCTTTCTGTACGGCTAATTTCAATCTATGGTAACACAATCTACTTAAACATAATGATAACGATATCTTACACATTTATTTGATATATTGGTAAATTCAAATATTAACGGTGAGGCCATGCCTCTATCTTTATTAAAACTCAGTTAAACTTTTTACAAGTAGAATATACAGAAAAAATTTATAATTGAATTCTATATCTATAAGATATTAAGATTAGAGGCTCTGACAAGTTATCTGTGACCTAAACCTATATATTGGTAAATTCCATCTACTCATATTTGAATATTTATTAGTCAAAATTGAATTTTACGTATTAATATTACTGTATTAGATTAATTGTTTAGAGGAAGTTGGCTTATTACTATATCTTCGGGACTATATATATTTACAAAAAGCAAAGTGTAGCAAAAAATACATATTTTGCCAAAAAACATGATCTGCAGTTGTTCTCATTAACTGTATATTGATCAATTGCTGTTAGATTTTATTAAGAATTTTTTCTTAATTAGAAATTAATTTCACATTCAATACCAATTTCATCAATAATGGTCCACCTAAACCCGGTTTGAAGCTTTAGTAGAATCCCAAATTTACCAAACCCCAAACTCTATTTGGGATTATTGTCCGAAACTTTCCGATTGTATTATTAAAGGATTGGAAAGACATTCATGCAATATCTGTTATTGTTACGTAGTAACTTACGTGTTATTATATGAACTGGAATTAAGGATAAGTTCCCAAATTAGGTAGAATGCCATAATTGTCCCATTAGGGTTTGGGTAACATCACTAATTAGCTTACTGTATTCAACCAATGTTTAATTCGGTTTTTGAAACTTTCGTAGCTCAGTAGATACCAAGTATGAATATTATGGGGAATCAAATAAATAAATAAATAAATAAATAGATAAATAAATAAAATAAATAAATAAATAAAATACAGAAAACATAAGTAGTAATTCGGATTACCTATAATTAAGGTTTCAAAGAAATTAGTTTCACCTTAATCATTTTCCTTTAAAAGTTTGTCAGATAAAATAACGAAACATATAGAACAAAAAAAAACCAAAAAAAGAAACATTATACGATCCGTATGTGAATTTCTATTGAGATGCAAATCTCTGATCATATCACCTAGCAGATAATGAAATTAAACTTTAACAATTGTATTAATACTGTTTAATTTGCAATAATTAATATCGACATATAGTTTTTACCTAAACAATGTCTAATAATCGACGTAGGACCATTAGTGTTACCCTACAAGCTAAGCAAGATTTAAGATCAAGTAATTAACGAGATGTTCAAACGACTTTGCATTGCTGAAAAGAGTTTTAACACCCAAATCAAGAAATTTTGGTTGAAAAAGAAAGTTTTACTTGAAAGAATCAATAATTTCCATAACAGAAACACTATTAATTATATGAATTATTACTACATACCTAATTTACCATCATGCTATGTGTCATCAGGAAAAACTTGTATTGGTTTTTTCCCAAAATTTGAGAATTACAAGAATAATGCGGGAACACCCCAAGAGTAAGCCTCGTTAAGTTATGACCTCCCTATCTTCAAAGAAGATCAGAAGAGACCACAATCGCATAACTGTGCTATGACCAACGAAACCAAACGTAACAACCACAAAAGCCTCAAGAGTAAACTCTTTCTTCGGTATAAAGGTCCCAACGAATGGTAATGCCACATTATGGGCGACACTTTCTGCCATGTGTCCGAGGACTTTCCCCAAAGCAATAAGTTGAGCGAGTAATTTTAAGAAAACTACTGCTCCGTATGTGGTGCTTTGATAGCGATTCTTTGAGGTGTTCCCAATTAAAAGGTAATTAAAATAAATGATCAGGAAATCTTGAAGTGGAGTTTTAATCTAAATAAATAAATTAGAGGATTAATTTGTAATGATAAGCGAATAATATATTAAGAATTTTACATTTATCGTTATTGTTAAGAAATTTTATCTCACCTTAACCTTTGATTAAAGAAACATTCAGAATAAAAATTTTTTTTCTGTGTCCTTAAAATCAAGTTCCATTATTACACTATATCACGCCATCACGCCTCAACTTACCGTTACATTGTTCTACTTATGATCCATTTATATAACCTGTTTACTTTTTTTGATAATCTGCTCGCGATGTGGTGTAAACATGTCTGATACAAGTTATGTTATGTGTACATTGAAAAAAAAACTGCAATAGTGCACAGACGAGTTACGAAAGTTCTTTTAAGAAAACAATTATTACACATTATTTTATTATTTTGAAGTTTGTGAATAACGCAAGTGATCGAAGATCAAATCAAAAACAAAAAATAGACAAATGTATATTTTTTTGTTGCCAAATATACATTTTTTTTGGATTCCTATAGAAAGTTAGATTTAAATCAGTTCCCGACATTTTAAGACATTGTGTTTAATTCATTTGAAATACATAATTCTCGATTAGTAACGGTAAACAAATTTTTTCTTTTTTGAAATATAAGATTTTTTATGACATTTTTCAAATTATAAATCGAGCTGCCCAACAATGCTTTTATAAAATGAACCGGGCTGATAGCATTTCTATTCTATAGTAATAAACATCACTTTTCATAATTGAAAAACGAAAAAAAAACAAATAAAGCTCATGACGAACTAGGCTACTAGCATTTCCAACTTATTATTATTATAGATTACCAGAAAAAATCTTCATAAGTAAAATTGAAAATTCAATAGCAATAGCGATAGCAATAAATGTTGAATTTGAAAATCCAAAAAAAAACTAGACTAAGAAAAGGTAATATATAAATAATAATTGTACGACTAATAAAAAAAAATTACTCTGTAATAAATTTTACTGCAAAAAATTTCGTAACACACAAGATCTAATTTCAAGTGTCAGGTGCAACTTTAAGCAGATGTTAGCTTAAGCATGACATTAATACTACGGATTTATAGCATGGAAAATAATAAAGACAAATATTATGATTGTAAGTTATTGGGATTTTGTATTTAAAAGTGGAAATTCTTAAAACTATTTAATGAATATTCATTCTATTCACGTTGATTAGTCTAAGCGTAAAAGTTATTTGCATTTAAATTTATGAGTCGCACGAATAACATGAAATAATTAATATATAATATAATTGACGATTATAGAGATTCGAATTGTGAAAAATGTGCGTATTGTAGAGAATATAATACGAGTGATGCATAGCGTCGGGCATGACGATTTAATGATCGAATATGTTCAATCATTTTATCGACCGACCATACTCAAAAAAAAAATTTTTTTATATTCGGTCACGATCAAGCAAATTGCATGATCGATCATTCCCTAATCGATTGTCATCTCTAATGTAACACACCCCCAAAAGATCCTTTTTTTGATTCTAACCCAGTATAAACAATAAAGCCCATGTAAATTAAATAAACATAAGGATTAGACCTTACCAAAACAAGGTAATATTTTCAGGTCCGTAAAGAGAAAAAAGAATATAAACACGATAGAAACGTGAAATCAAACAAAAAAAAATGAAGCGTAAAGGGTATTGCAAAAAGCGTAATAACAATTAACCTCTACAGTTTATCAGCTTCATCGACTTTTCCCATCCTGAAATTCATGTTGCTACCGTTGCTTGTTGTAGATGATGATTTTGAATCATGCTCTGATTTATCACCATTAACTTGTGGAGAGTGAGTTTGATTAGAATTCTGTTCTGAAGATTCATCTGATCGTTCTTGTCGTCCATTTTCTTGATTTACTCCATTACTGTGATGTTGTTCATTATCAGAATGGTAACCTCCATGATGTGTGGACGCGCTGTTTGCTGGAGTATGATAAAAATGCAAACCTTCTACATATTCTTGTGAATGATACGCCGGAGAAGTTAGAGGATGATCTGGAAGTTCTGTTGATTGTGGAATTTCAATCTTCATAAATGGTTTACCACCAACAGCAGTAACATTCGAATTTGAGGTTGAAATTGGACGTGATTCAAAATTAGAGAATGCCGAGTGTGGAGCAGAAGTTGTAGCAACTACAAACATAATTACATATTAAAATTATTAATAAATGTTACTCCTGTAGATGCTGTAAATTTGTAAAATTTTGCACATTCGATTTTAAATTTGAAATTTATATAAATATATTACCTCCTTCCATGTGCATGTCAATCTGTTGACCTGGTACTTTTTGATCATGTGAGCCGTTAACAATATTAGGGTCCATGTTAGGATTATTATAAACTTCTGGGTTTTGATTTTCAGCATCCCCAATGCTTGACACCATATATTGTTGGTGAGGATGCTGTGGATGAAAAGGTGGTGTTTGTCCGTTTGGACCGGTCATCATCAATAAAGCATCATTTCTAATTGGTCCACCAGTCACTGGTGGAAACCCTTGAAAGGGTGGATACTGTCCGTATGGTCCCGGAAAAGGTCCACCATTAAAGTCTTGTGGCATCACCGATCCATTTGGTCCAGTAGGATGTGGAAAACCAATATGACGATCATTAGGGAATGCCGGATTCATTCCAATTGGATTATAACGATCATGATTATCAGCGTAATGGCCAGGGCTACGACCACGTACGACTAAAGGAGCTGAAGTTGACGTAGCAACTCTAAATTGTTCACCATTTTCCACTTGAGCGTATAGATCAACCATTACCACATAATATTGTTGTGCAGCTCGACGTTTGCCATTATTTGCGGTTGCAGTTTTAAATTGAATACGTTCAAAAGTAACTATATTTGAATTAGAGCCAACTGAACTAAGATTAAGATTTCCACCAGGACGAATAGGTTTTGGAACTGGAACCATTTGAGGTCCTTTATCACGTTTTGGAGTGTGCTGTACTAATTCAATCTTTTTATCACTATTAGATACTCGTGCCGTGATTCCTAATAAGAATTGGGAGACATTATGAAATTGACCATCTACTTCAATCAAACATGGTACATCAGCTTCATTAACAGGGTGAGTCGCGCTTGAGATAGAAAAGGCGCTGCTAATCTGAAAATAATTTCTTCGGTAACACGTCCAATCATTATCGGCTAAGAAGAAACCACGATCAACTTTTGAATTGATACGAAGTTTAAATCTAATTTATTAAAAATATATATATATGAATAAATTATAAATATAAAAAAATAAAAATAAAAAAATAAATAATTTAAAATTAATAAAGAAATGATTTAGAGTGATTAATCAATAACTAACCCATAAGTCCTATCCATGCTACATAAGTTATAATGTTGTTGAGTTGGTGAGAAGAAAGGGCCAGCGTCTACCGGGAAACCAGATGCGTCAGCCCTACGCTTCCTTACACTAGGTTGGAATGGTGCCGCGTGAAATGATGTGAAGGCTGGACGATTGTCAATCTTACGATCAGGAGCAGGGTTTTGTGTGTTTGTGGTTGAACTGATGTTTGGAGAATCATTTTGTCGAGGAGTCGTAGGAGTAGCAGGGGTAGAAGACATTGAAACAAAACTACGAATTTGAGTATTGAGTATTAGAGGAATGTATTTTTTTGAATTATGATACATTTAAACGGTTAGTATTAAAGAAAAAGAGAAAAAAAGAAATTGAAAAATAAAAAGATATGATAGAAAGATTGAAAAGAGCACGATGATCATAGCTTCCACCACATATGCGTAAATTATTTTGCCTTTGGAAAAAGTTGGTATACGCAAGGAAGACGCATTGATTATACCTCCGAAATCTTTACTACCTTTGATATTGAGGTTGTCTATCATGTGGGTTGACAATCTCTTGCTTTGGTGAGATGAACATGTTAAGATAAGTGTTATGAGTGGGCCTTGAAAAGAAGGGATACATTGTGAAAGGGATATATATGTGTTTAAAAGCACATATACCGGTGTTAACTGGTTAGGTCAGAAAGGGAGGAAAGCAGTGGAGGCAGGAGAGCGGCAGGACGCAGCGTCAAAGACTTCAGGGCATAAAGCATGTGTAAGGTAACACGCGGCGGGAAGAAACATCCACTTGCATAACCCAAACAAGTTTGTACCAAGTACAAAATAAAACGCGGGTGGTGTGCTATGCTCGTTGTGGAAACTGTAAAACGTGCGCGGTACGAAACCGACGTGTAAAAAAAAAAAATTAAATAAAAATATATAAAAGCCTGTCAACACTTACATTGGCTGGGAATGCATTTGGCCTTGCGTTGCTTGACTGTCGTATGAGAAAGGTTGCATAAAGTTGTCTGTAGGCATACCGTTCATCTGTGGAGACATTGTGGAATGTTGATGTTGAGGAGAAGGAGGAACTTGAGGAGGTTGTTGAATTGACCACTTTTCCTCAGAAATGTTCATAATATTGTTGTGCCAAAATATAGGTAAAGCACCCCTTGCGGACGTTAGAAAATATTTTCAAAAAAATTGTAAAAGGATCAACGGTAACGAGATTCCTCAGAGCTATAAAGAATATAAAGTACGGAGAAAAAAAATAAAAAGAGAAAATTTTAATAAACGAGAAACCATGAACGTATGTTTATATACATGAGAAAAAGATTTGTGTGAATGAGTTGATTGTCGGATATCTAATATTCGAAACATACGATTCGAATATAAAAAAAGAAATTTGAGAGAAACAAATAAAGGAAGAAAGAGAAGAGCATACACTCTATAAATGATTTCTTCAAAGAAATTTCACTTAATATTATTATATTATATTTATTGTTTAAAATATTTCGCTTTTAATTACACGAACACTAACAAGCTATTAGGAAATAGGATAGTTGTACCTGGATCCCTTGGAGAGCAGGGAAAAAGTGGTCCAATGTTACTCACCTTTTGTAGGCGCACAAACTGACCTTTTTTGCTCAAAACTCTGGAGAGATGTCTTGAAGAAAAAAACCGAGCTCAATCTCTATATATTGTCATTGTAAAGGGTAATAAGAGTAACCAATGATATGTAAGCCTGGATTTTGGGGAGTTTTTTTTCAATTTGATATAATTGAAAAGTTTGCCAGTTAAGGATTTTGATTGGTCACGCAACAAAAAACCCCCCAATTCTCAAATCAAGTTCTAAACAGGAATTTGCATCGACACACAAAATCTTAGTGTATAAAAAAAAATTTTTTATAAAGTGATGGCATTTATTACTATGAATGGTAGAAACCCAAAAAGCGTGACCAGACATACAACGCATCATTTTCATTACTTATACTTTCGATTAAACTAAAAACAGTAAAAGATTAAAGCCAGTACAACATAAAACCGATTAACAGGTATTATTAATGCGTTTTTTTTTTTTACAAATTATAAATAGTTTACGAAAAAAAAAAAATACAAAAGTATTACAATATCCAAAGTTTAAAAAACGTTCGTGTAAGTCATACATAATTGCTCGTACAAAATATAAACATCTCACAAACCTTTTTTATACATCGTACCACGTTATCAATAACGCAAATAATTTTATGCTCTACACTTAGATACAATACCAAAGTTATCTTAATTGACAAGATAAATGACAATACTTATTGATTAATAAAAAAGCCAAATATCCTTGTGCGCTCTCAGCTCGCTCCTATGTTCCAAATACGGTAAGGCGTTGGTCGTTCCGATGCGGGCCGTGAGTACATTTTCTCTTCAATATCTAGGTGTGGGTAATCTGGCTGTACAAAGGATTTCGTTAGGCAAAATCAAGTTACCTTTCTGGAATTTGTCCATTTTAAGAAATCTGCAGGCTCTTTAATCTGGCACAGCCCGCTATAAAACAAGTTTCATCTATTCCTTGTCATGTGCAAATGTTTAGTAGGTGTAGTAGTAGGTTTGTAGGTCAATATCTAATCACTCATTTTATTTTATTTATTTGATTAACTCTAACTCAATATACTTTAAAATAACGATAAGCCACCTGAAAGACTAACTGTTGATATTCCTGTTAAAATCTTGTCCTTAAGGAAACCCAGATGCTGGCGGTACTGATTGACTTGATTAGATTTTCCTCATGCATGTATAAATCATTTTGTATATATAATTATTATTAATTTCATATAATCAAAGACGAATTGCCATTATCCATTATGATTTGGTTACATTCGATCTTGTGTCGGGATACTTTGTCTGACAAAAATTCTTTTGGTCTGACAAAGATTTTGACGGCTCTGAAAATTTTCCTTTGGGATATCCGGATGCATGGTTACGAAATTAAAAGAGCGTGGTGATTTTGTTTCCTTTATTAAATGGTGATAGCCTCCGCAAAAATATTCTCACACAAAAGGAGATCCTTTTTTTCGCGGTAACGTTTCTTTGTACTCTTCCTCGTTTTTTTCGTTCTGCTTCATATCCACGAGTACATCAATTTTTCAACACAACGTATTGCCTTTTTAGCACCGATGCTCTCGGTAGAATTTCAATGGGTGTACAAATTATGTACATAGTACGCCCACACGGCGCTGCACAAAGATGGTCATGAACAGGATTTTTCCATAATTGTACCATTTATCTACCGCATGGCTGACTGACGATTCCTATTATGTCTGATATATGTTTATGTTACGTATAGTTTCCGTTAGAATAATATCCGTTTATTTAATTTTACAAATAAGAGCACGTGATATTTTTGCCTTTAGATTTTCAATTATTATAAAATGAATTTTTATAGTGTTTATATTTTTTTGCTAAAATTTAGTTAGTGTGCAACTATAGCAAAAATAAGAGTTAGATATAAAGGCCCAAATGGTTTTTTAAAGAGGATAACTATTTTTATTTAGTATATTTAATTAGACAGTTTTTGTAATATAGTGTATATATATTAAACATCTATATATAGTTAGAAGTTAAAACCGGTTTTAATAATTTGAGTTTATTATATTAATTTATTAATTTATTTAATTAATTAAATTCTGATAAATTCTAGAATATTTAAATTTAGAATATATTTAATTGTAACAACATATTACATATTTATATATTTGTAACTTATTTAATGCAACTAATAAAAATTCATATAATTTGAATTCTAACTTTAATTATAATTGGCTAATTGTAATATTGTAACATGTTGCAAATATATTAATTCTTAAATTTAATATATATAATAAATTTTCAACACATATTCTTATCCAAATCTTTAATAATACTATTGAATACTACAAACATTTTAATGAAAAAGCTTGAATAATGTTTTAAGACATGTTCAAAATCTTTAATAAAATTAACATATCTTGATTACAAGACATTTACAAAATATTTAGTATTTTTTTTAAAAAAATCTAACTTATTACTAAACTATATAAGACTAACAAACAAGAATAATTACTGTATATATATAGTCTTATATCACCTGTTCATATTAAATCAAGTATCAAACAAGATAAAACATACTTTTCTCTTTTTTGAAAACTTTATTATAATCTAATTTTTACTTATATTTATAATAAATACAACAATTATTTACTAAAAATTAACTTCTCTTTACCATTTAAAATTATTTTCAATATATTATCTTTTTCAATAACTATACTTTCTATGACTTTCATAGATAATATTTTTGGCATAATAAAAACCCTAAAACCCTTTAAAATATTTTTAATGATACATAACAACTATACAATCTTAACAATATTGAAATTAATTTAACTAAATTTGATTTCTTATATATCTCTCAAAACAAAAACAAACTAAATACTATTATACCAACTTTTTATTACAATAACTAAATAATACATTTATATAAACTACATGAAATTATATAGTATCTTAATATCTATTTTAATAAAAATAGTTTTATTAAACTAATTTTAAAATATTTTAAAACAAAATTATAAACTTCTTCTTATTAATTAAATATAAAAAACTTATATTCAAACAAATTTTTATACTAGGATGGTGATTTTAGTATAGTGGTTGGGTTGTTATTCTCTAAGTATTAGGTCTAAGATTTAAATTCTATCTATGATAAAATTTGAAAATTATATCTATATTATAGTAATTGTCTTCTATCAATCAGTTGGTCTTATATGACTATAACCTAGATACACCAAGTCAAGTTTTATTAACATTAGAAACTCAAGGCATCTATATGAAATATAATATTACACATATATAGAAGAATGTATAACTAATGTTGTATAAGACTTTGGTGCAAACCCACAATAAGATTACTAGGTGTAGAAGACTAAAAAACTGAGGTAACAGAAACCTATTTGGAAATTTCTAAGTAAAAAGATAGCATGAACTTTTAATAATACTATCAGACTGGTTAAAACTCACAAACACTTTCATAAAAACCAAAAATTAAACTAGATATTAAATATATATAAAGGAGCATATAACTAACTAGGTCATTAGATTCATTGAAGAAAAAAAATACAGAAATATATTATATCAGGCTATCTGAATTGGTAGTCTGAAAGAGACTGCTGGTTTTAAGTTGTGACTAATAGGAGATGATGAAAAAGATGTCAAGAAAATAGATATTGGAGTTTTAATGAAATTTATAAGAGTAGAAATAGTATGACATAGTAATTAAACAGGTAATCCCTATGATTGCAAGTGTTAGGTAACTATAGTATGTTGTATAAAACTAGGCTATATATGTAGAACATAAAGGCTCTAGTAAGTTTCCTGTTAAGGATAAAGTAGTTCTAAAGATAATGATTAGCATTGAGAACTTGGATGAGTGTAACCTTAAAAATGTTCTTGTGATACAAGAAGGATTGCATACAAAGAGTTTAAATAGACAAGACCCTTAGTTGGCTTACAGATATGACAACTAGTATAGAACTTATATAGCAATATGTAAATGAATTACTTAAATTAGACATCAAAAATGCATGTATAGCTAGTTGTAATTTTCAATATATAGGTAGCCTCTAGAGGCATGCCATATCTTATAATATTTAAATAAAAATATCACATTCTTAAGATAGGAACTTTAATTATAAAAAAAAAAAAAAACATATCTCTATACTCTTCAATATAATATTACAACTATCTTTAAAATATCTTCTACAAATTTTATCTATATCTAAAACACAATAACAAAAACTCTCATGACTACTTTTAATTATAACAAAAAAAAGGCTTTATTTAGCAAAAAATATATCTAATATTCTTCTTACAAACTTATTATTTTTTAAACTTTTAATATTTTAATACCTAACTCAAAAAGTTGCAATATCAATAATTAAATATATTTTCTATTTTACTCTATTTTTTAAACATATTAGTGAAGTTAAAATTAAAAACTGGCTTACTAAAATATAACAATCACTTTTTTATTTAAATATTTTTTCTAAATTTTCACTAAAAACTAAAAATTTTTTCTTTATTTTTCAACTTTTATTTTTACACAATTCTAA